AAGCCCAAGGTGCCTTATCATTTATAAAATCTTTAACTGTATAGTAACCTTTCTTCAGGAGGCTAGTTTTTATACGCACTTTAAACTTATTAAAAGGTAAATTTATTATTTCTTTTGGTATTTTATTATAGTAACATACACCTTGACCCACAAATGAACCAAGAACCTTTTGGAGTCTCAACGGTGGCAATTTGAGTTTATCTTTATTTCTGGTATTGAAATTATGTACATCATCGCGCCTCGTATATAAATTTATGTTCTGACGCACAAACAATATACAATTGTAAATGTATTGAGAGGCAACAGTCATTATACCTATTTCTTTAAATACATCCCTAAGAGAAGTTCGAGATCCTAAGCGGTAAATAGCTCTTATAGCTCGTTTTTGAAGAATAAAAACTGTTTCAATGTCAGCGGCCGTGCCCCACAATAGAATGCCATATGACATGATGCTGTGAAAGTAGCTAAAGTATATTGTCCTAGCAGTGTCGACATCTGTAAGCCGTCTTATTTTATAAATTGCATAAGCAGCAGAACTAAGTTTACCCGATAGTGTTTTAATCGGAGGGTTCCATTGAAGTTTGTGATCTAGTGTTACGCCTAAGGAAAGGGTAGTATCGACTAAAATTAGTTTTTCACCATTTAGAATTATATCCCCCATTTCAGCATGCTTTACATTCGGTAAAGTAAATTTCACTCATTGCGTTTTTTTCGCATTAAGTTTAAGATTATTACTAGACAACCAGTGGAGTACCTTAGACAGTGCATTGTTTACATCGTCATAATTAGTTTTACACCTGTCAATGTTAAAAATTAGTGAGGTGTCATCTGCAAACAAAACAATGTCACAAAATCTTTCCACAAAGAAAGGTAAATCATTAATGTAAATTAAAAAAAGAAATGGACCTAAAATTGAACCCTGGGGAACGCCTATTTTCACATGAGATCCGGCTGATTTTGTACCGTTAATATCAACTGTCTGTGTCCTTTCTGTTAAATATGATTGCACTTGCATTTTTGTGCGGTATCTTTTATGCCGTAATGATTTAATTTACATAACAAAGTTTCATGATTAACGCAATCAAAGGCTTTAGATAAATCGCAGAATATCCCAAGAGCATTGTGCGACTTTTTCCAAGCATCAAATATATATTTTAGCATAGTGGCACCTGCATCAGTCGTGGAACGGTTTTTAGTGAAACCGTACTGCGCTCTGTGTAATAGTTTATTAATGTTAAAATGAGTTAACAATTGTTCTAACATTATTTTTTCAAAGATTTTACTTAATGCTGGTAATATAGATATTGGCCTATAGTTGCTAGGATCTTTACAACTTCCAGACTTAAATAAAGGTATAATTTTACTGAATTTCATAAGATAAGGGAATACTCCTTGATCTATACACGAATCAAAAATATCAGCAAGGTAAGGGGCTATAGAATGTATAATATTCTTTATGACTTTGACAGATAAACCCATAAATCAGTTGAATTTTTCATTTTCAATGAGGGGAAAACTTTTATTATTTTAAAAGAGCTTACGTGCTTAAAATTGAATAATAAACCACACGGTGGTACATATTTTTGTAACAGAGCTTTAGCAGTATCTGACGATGAGTCTAAGTTGGAAGTAATTTCTACTGGTATGTTCATAAAAAAAATATCGAAAATATCTGCGACTTCATGTTTCGATTTTACGAGATTATTATTGATTTTAAGAACCATGCTATTTTCACGAGGATTACACTTGCCACTTTCGCGCTTAATGATATCCCAAGTGGTCTTTATTTTATTACTAGATTTTTTAATAGTATCGCTAATAAAATTGGACTTTGCAGTACTACATATGCTTTTAAACAATTTGGAATATTTTCTAACATAGTTAATAAACTCAGGATTCTGGTTATATTCTTTGATTCTATAAAGCTCATACAGCCTTGTTCTACTCTTATATATACCACTTGTCGCCCAGTCACAGACCTGCAACTTCTGTGTACATTTAATGGTTTTCAGTCTGAACGTATTTTGAAATTCATTATTTATTAAATTAAAAAGATTTTTGTACAAAATATCTGGATCATCATGCGTCCAAGGCATTAAAGGAAGTTTATCGCTAATGTTATTTTTAAAATTATTAACGCGCTCATTTGTTATAGGTCTACACTCTATTATGTTCGGCTCAGTACTGATATTGAAACTATATGTTGTCTTTAAACCGAGATGATCGGAAGTAATATCACTAGAGACTGACTTTTCAATTGCATCCAATTCAGAAAAAAAGTTGTCTAAACAAGTGGCTGAGTGAGATTTTACTCTGGTTGGTTCAGTAAACTGGAAATTTAAATTAAAACATTTAAACAAAGTAATTAACCGAAGACTCAAAGAGCTATTTTCAAGTAGATTGACATTAAAATCACCACATACTATTACATATTAATTTTTTAATTTATTGAGAGAGTCCTCCATGACTGATTCAAATGTACCAAAGTTTCCTGAGGGGGGGCGGTATACACATACTATATAAAAATTTACTAACTCTACACACGTCAATGTATTAGAAAACTTAAAAAAAACTTATCTAAATCTGAAAATCGCCTCGAGTTATGGCATTACCAAGATTATGATTATGATATGATTTTTATGTAAATATTTGGGATTTGAACAAAAAATATATATATTTATGTATGTCTTGTCCTGCTGTTCAAAACAGTCAGATAAATGAGGTAATATGTTCTTTTTTATTTATTATCTTTATTAAAGTGTTTATCAAGATATTGGTGCGCGTGACCGAAATTGGAACTAATTTTAAGAAGGTATAAATAATCCTTTTTATTTACAGGCGAAAGACGTAAATAAACCTTTTATATTTCCTAAGTATTTCTCTTTTCAAGTTATTATAAACCAGCTGTGCCCTGCGGTGTTACCCGCGGTTTATTATGGATATTTTCCCGTAGTAAAACGTAGCCTATGTGTTAATCCAGGGTGTCAGCTAACTCCATACCAAATTGTGTTAAAATCGCTCAGCCTTGAAGAAGTTACAAACTTACAAACGTTCGCTTTTATAATATTAGTGTGATTAAAACGTTTTATTTAATGAAGAGATTTTAGGTACTTGGTAATTAATCCTCATTTCACCAATTGTTCACCAGCAGCGCCCTCCTCTGTCAATGTCATAAAACTGCCACAAGATCTTGGTCGCACTGTGCGTGCAGCTACGGACTGGTATTTTCGTTATTACATTTATATATACATATAAAAGCGATTATTGAATGTTATTTAATCTAATGACTCGGAAGATGTTGTATCGTCAATATATATCTAATAATATATTTTCATTATCTTTATATATATAATTCTTCTGTGAGTGTGTATGTCACTGAACTTCTCTTAAACGACTGGACCGATTTTGATGAAATATTTTGTGTGTGTTCAAGGGGATCTGAGGATGGTTTAGATTCACAATTTTGTCCGCTGGACAACCCCTATTTTTTAGGGCGGTACGAAGTTCGCTGGGTCAGCTAGTTTTTACATAATATTGTGTTCATAACGTACTTAGATACAGATTTGGATTTTATTATCTAATCCTTATTTCTTCCATAACCTATAAAAAAATTATCTTCTATAAAAATAATAAACTTATCGATGTGATGTAATAAAATTAAAAAAAAAATGGGTGCGTGTATGTGCATGCTTGCGTACGCGCGTGAGAAGTTATACTTCTTTGGCATAATTAAAAAATAGTTTTAAATGGCACGCAAATAATTAATTATAATAATATAATAAAAGGACTGGAAAAGGATAGTCTACGCAGTCAATAAAGTCAGTTTTAAATTGAAAAATTAAATAAATAATTAATATATTCAATTTAAATCAGCACTGAATATTATTTATTAGCACATATATAATTCACACTTGTATGAAACTAAACCACGTGTTGTGAATATAGAAACATGTGGAAAAATATTATAAATATGAAAACAGTGATCAGAGGCGACGAGCGTGCCAACATGTGCGACTAGTAGAGATTCCATTTCTATTTTATTGGTAGCTTTATTTCGAGACCCAATTGTGCGGTTTAGCGGCCAACTTCATGGTGTTACTTTTGTGTTACAGTGATGAGCGCGCATCTTAAAATTTCACTCTCATCAGTTTTTCATAACGCGCCTAAAGAAGTATAACTTCAAAAAAAATGGATGCGTGTAACTTATGTACGCGCGTGAGAAGTTATATTTCTTTAGCATCATTAAAAATATTTTTTGATTGAATGCAAATTATTAATAATTACAATAAAATAATAAAAGGACTGGAAAAGGTTAGTTAACACAGTCAATTAAGTTCAGTTTTAATTTGAAAAATTAAATAAATATTCAAAATATTTAATTAAAATCACTACTGAATTTAAGTTATTAGTCCATGTGTAATTAGCACTTGTAAGTAACTAAAACACGTTGTGTCTATATAGAAACTAGAAACATGTGGATAAATATTATAAATATGAAAACAGTGATCAGAGGCGACGAGCGTGCCAACATTGTTTTTGACAACGCGATCATCTTATGGAGCTCCGTGGATCGTTCAAAGTACGAACAGATCGAACAGATGAATAATAGTGGATTATTAACCACTAAGTGGTTAATAATCCACCATTATTAGACACTAACATTCATAACGCGCCTGCGGCCAACTTCATGGTGTTACTATTGTGTTACAGTGATGCGCGCGCATCTAAAAATTTCACTCTCATCATTTTTTCATAACGCGCCTAAAGAAGTATAACTTCAAAAAACTGCTTATGTATTTAAAAAAAAAATGTTATATGACAATTTTAGATTGCAAAATGTTATTCAACAAGCGTAGTCAAACAATGCTGTAAAATAAAACCTCCGTTTGTATATTCCAAATTCAATATGTAAGGACACCATTACTCTTTGACATGTCAAGACGACGTTTTCATGAAAAATGCTATGCTAGTTCCCTCATGTATGACGCGACCGCTATCGTCATACCGGCGGCGGCGGCTGGGCGGTCGCCGCCCACTGAAAAATCAGTCTCGACGTCTACTCCGCGCGGTCCGCCCGCCGTTTACCGCGACCAAACTTACTAACCCCTATCAGAACTAACCCCCATAAAGTATTACGATAAAACAAGGTGCGCGTATAAAGCCCTGTTACATTTTCTTTTTTTTTGCGGGAAACGGCGTCACGCTTATATTTGTGTTCCGAATTCAAAATTTGTGTTTCGGTGTTGATTAAGGGTGAATATATTTTCGGAGGATTGAAGGATCTAACCAGGATTCTTGTTGCGTGAGGGTAACTATTATTTTTTACTAAATTAATTAGTTATTAAGTGTATATAAATATACATTAGAAATTATATTTTTTTTAATGTGGACTTGTTTTTAATATTCTATGATTAAGTTTTGCTTTATAGCTGTAATCTGATGACAACAAAGAAAAATTTAGTTTTGTCTGCTTGTTTGTTAAAAATATAGGTATATACTTACTTGTACATAGTAGATAAGTATTCGCATATAATAATATAAAGCTTGTTTGCGATAAATACTTATTAAGGTTAATTGTTTAAGGGTTCAATTATTTCTAAAAATGTGAAGGTACAATTTATTTATTTGTTTTCTTAACATCAACAATATTAACATAATATCGTCAATAAGTGAAGAAAAAATATTAATATAAATGAATGTCGTTTAATTATTTGTATTGAACTATCATTTATGTACGGTATTGAATTTTAAATGTAATTTAAATTTTTCAACATTAGCATCGCTTATCACCTTACACACCGCCCATCATCAACACAACTATCAAATCGGCGATATTTATGAAATGATTAAGGCTAGGCGCCGTCGTATGTTATGGACATAAACATTACAGTATTTACTAAAAAGGAACTATATATTTCTTTTTTATTAGCTTAGCTAGGGCAACATCGCGTGACTCTTAACTTAGGGTAGCGACCCCCATGAGTTTTCAATTCGCCTAGACTATTAATGAAGCTTAGGGAAATCAAGCAGTCGGCTTTTGCATTAGGGTAAAAAATACTTTAAAAGCTTTCCTTTTAAATTTATAAGCCTCGTATATCGTAGGTATATTTTAAGTTTTAATCAAGGAATAATCGATAGTTTTGCGAAGAATGCAAACGGAACTGAACTTTAAACATATTCAATTTGTGCTGTTATTAAAAATTGAAAACTCTCGACTTATTAAATATCTTAATAAATTGAACTTACTTTCAAATTCACAGTATGGCTTCCGCCAAGGATTAAGTACATAAGATGATTAATGATCAATTATCTCAAAAAACAAATAACTAATAATATCGCCAAAAAAAGGGAAACGCTCTCTATTTTCCTTGATATAAAAAAAGCTTTTGATGTCGTCTCTGTGCCCCTTATACCTCGCAAAATAGAAAAGATGAGTATGAGGCACAGACATAGATCAAAATATATAACGCGTATGTACTCGCGTGCCATGCGCCATGCGTTAATTTATTTCATCGCGTCACCGTTCTCGATGCTCGACGAAAAACGTATGTTTGAAACATATCTAATTAAGCTGTAATAACGGCAAAATTTAAAAAGGTGTTCTCGATTTAAAATTTGGAGTATATGCGGCGTCCACTTCAATCTCGGTCTGTGGTGTTAGGGGTACATTCTTGAAATTAATAACCAATTATCTTAGCAACCGTTCACAATGGGTTTTAAAACAAATATGAAGCCAGAAAACGCAAGAAAAGAATATGCATAGTATAAGGCGCAAATAAAAAATAATAATATGCCACCTCAGGTTAACAATAGTTATCGATGCGTCCAACTTTGTAGTTTTGACCTCGAATTCATTCATACTAGGCACAACTATTTTGAATATCAAAATTTATTTCGAAGCTACTCCGGCGTGTACAACTCATAATAATAAATGAATGAAATTGAGATAGAGAGCAATACAAACGATGTTATGATCATAATGCTGTATCATCTTAATATCAATAATCATAATTGCCGCGCCGTGCTCGCGTGTCATGGTGGGGGAGCCAACTCAAGATGCACTCGAGTATTCTTTTATTTGTGTAATTATGAGTCTTGCTTAGTAACAAAGATTCAGATAGCTGTGGTTCCGGTAAAGTATAACTGTAGTCACGTACAAGCTGTTCTGTGATAATTTTATTTTTAAAGGAATAATTTAGAAAGGGTTAAATAATTATGTATAATTATAATGTTGTTTATACCTATGAAAATTAGTATGATGTAGTACAGATTAATTAGACATTCACATATATAAATGTATCCTCAATACTTTTTAGTTAGTACACAGGTCGTGTACTAAAACATTTAATGTTTACAACATACTAAGAAGTATACAACTTCTCCAATTTATTCTGAAGGTGGCATTCAAAAGTCTTAGTCTAGTCTAGGTTTGATTTCGTTTAGTTTGATGTTGGTGGTCACCTTAAATTTGCATAGTAGGTTAGAGTATTGGGATATATTAGTGTCGGATAGTATATTAAAAGTTTGTATAACTCTTAAAATACTCGCATACACCGTACTAACTTCGAACTAGTACACTATTAGATTCTTATGAATAATGGAACCAGTAGCAAAGTACTGGTAAAAGTATTTTGAGTGGGTAGAGTAAGTAACAAGTTCGCATTTACAATGTTCATGTAGCATCTAATTTTGAGTTTATTTTAGGGATTTGTTAACATAACACTTTTTTATGAATATAAAAAGTTAAATAGTGATTTATTTCTATTGAATGTATTATGACGTAAGCAAGTATCTTTATTTAGCTAATGGCAGGTAAAATATTTTTATCTTTACAAGAATGGTATGGAAAATTATAGAAAAATATGCAACATTTAGTTTATCTGACTGTTTATTTTTATTAGTTTCATAATTTGGCTCTAATTCCTTATGAGTATGTTACTAATATGATTTTCATAGTTGAGTTGAGACCATAATTTCAATTCATATTGATTGTCGGAGTTCGTCTTGTTTGGAGATCTTATCTTGTATTATATTTATCTCAATAAAGACACTACTTCCATAATGAGACATTCAGGGGAAATGTTATAATTCTACTACATTAAATACTAAAATATATTCTACATACTCTAAAGGAATTAAGAGATACAAAACATTTGGGCCAAATGTTTTATTCAGAACGTTTTTGATAATTTTCAAACGCCGGTCTTCAGCAAATAACCGTTTTTGTCTCAAAATATTTCAACTAACATTTCTCTTAATAGCGGCAAGTAATTACACTAATAATATAAAGGCGAAAGTTTGTGAGTGTTTATGGTTGTTAGTTCTTCATGTCTAGACAGCTGGAGCGATTGTAATAAAATTTTGTATGGAGTTAGCTAACATCCTGGATTAACACATAGGCTACGTTTTACTGCGGGAAAATATCCCTAATAAGCCGCGGGTAACACCGCGGGGCACAGCTATCGTATAAAAAGTAGTTATTAGTAAGGATCTATTTTTTGAATGGTGACTTTAGACATTATTTTCATGATTATTACGATAGTAAACCACGACGATGGTTCTTCGTTTGAGTGTTATGATTATGACTAAAGTAAATAAATTGTAAACTGAATGTATGCTTTGTCTATTTATAGATAAATAGAAGCTGGTGCTGCGGAGGAACGATGCGGTATGGTTAAGACTGTGAATAATGAGCTATCTTGCTATATATCTTGTTGGATAATGTCCAAATAGAAAATGTGATGCCTTGATGCCTAGCTTGACGCCTTGGGAATATGGACGCCATTGTATAAGATACATTTTTGGTTACTATAGAAATTGTTACAAACCAAAACCTAATTAATTATACCTATTATATTATTACCAAAATTCGTTCTATCATTTATTTATGTTAATCGGTACACAAAATACAGTTACTACAGATACCTACATCCATAAACAGAATAGTACAAATGGGAAACAACTATAGACTGTCACTCTTTGATCACAGGTGTAGATCATCACATGTAATATCACACTCGAATAAAAAAGTATGGTACATATCTTGATTAGAAAACCCTTACTTAGTAATGACGATTATAAAAAAAACCGCAAGCTCTATAATAATAATACCAATACAAAATTGTTATTGCATTTTATAGAAAACAAAATCATTTTACGCCAACCCACGTATCAGACTTTACTTCACGGTATTTAAAACGTATTTGAACATGAAAAAAAACTCAATAAAAATACAATTCTTTTTATAGAAAATTAATATCTTTTAATAAATAAACCAAACCATAGTTACATTTTGGTTATTGATGTATTATGTGAACGGCGACCTTCAACATATTATATTTAAAACATTGCTGAAATTATTATCCTCAAAAGGTTGAACTTATGGTCACTTCAAATTATAACTGGACTATATAGCCCGCACCGGTTTTATGATGCATTCACTTCATACACTGTTAAGAAAGCTGTTCATTAAAAAATAATAGAAATGTCTTTGAGTAACTACTGGAAACTTTAAAACAAATCTGCAATTAATGATAATGTTTCACTTGAGCCAATAAAATGCAGTTTATTTCACTGTCATGTATTTATTACTAGTGCCCACGACTTCGTCTGCGTGGATATTTTTGTTTCCCATACAACTTCCACTCCCCTTCATTCACATCAAGTATAGGAATATAAAAAAATATTTGTAATTCGTATTTTATTTTCAAATTACAACGCGGGCAAAAATTGATTTTGTTTTGAAATAGTTTTTACAGAATAGCACTGCTGCTGTTATGTGAGTATTGTTCGTAATCAGTAGGAAGAGTTTGTATGGAATATTTTTTTTATTGGGAAATTATAATTTTCTTGGGATTTTTTATGGGAATTGTATCACACGTTTTCTGTAAATTAACGAGGTAAAGTAGTTAGAGATTTTCCGTCGAAGATACTTTGGCCTCCACAGCTAAATTACGCTTCTTCCTCGTGGTCAAAACGTGTAACTTAACAAACTTAACAGCAACTGTTATCAAATTACACCATAATAATATGAAGTGCAGTAGATAGATAATAATTATTGTTTCCCATGATATGAACGCAGTTTTGTAAGTCCCTCTCTATCGATTTAGTACACCAGGTAAAGCCAGTTTTTGCAATAGTGAACGCTTTATAATGCTGCGAGTTTAAATTAAAATTGCCTTTTATGGTTAGAATAGTGACAAGCTTAATTTCCTGTGAGCTTTTAATAAGGCTAAAATTAATGAAGATAAATATATTTTTGTGATTATTATGTATGGAATCGAGGAGTTTGATGGAGCAGTGGTTAGT